TAAACCTAATAAGCCCACCCTAGGACATTCTTCCTTCGACATTTAAATTGAAATGGATTCTTCACGAAGGCGGTACACTTCAAAAGGCGTTATCTCTTTCCACCAATCAGCATCCAAGGATCGCCCTTGAAGGATAACCTCAATCCGCTATTGGTCGCCCCAACGACACTTTGTAGTGTCCTGATATCCGTCATATAATATTTCCATCTTATTTTTACTATCAGGCTTCGTATACATCGATCCTTCTCAGTAATGAGGGGCAAGACTAAAAATTTTTCAATTTCCCTGTTAACAGTTTATAACACCTATACATATAATATTTAATAATGTTTATTTTACTATTTACCAAGGCGAAGACGATATATTATGTACCTATGTAATGACGACATACATTTTTTATCTACCTACATCTTTATTAAAAAGAAACATTCAGTATCAACAAGTAACTAATATATTTCTTACACCGAAACTGCTTATTGTTATTATGTAGGTAGATAGGTTATGTGTAGATACTATCTGTAGAATAAAATCTATTTTTGTAATACCTTATATCTACTTAGTACTTATTTAGTAGCTTTCGGATTTCGACATAGTGTAAATTAAGTAATATTGAACTTTGATAAAAAAAAATCATGAATTACCTAATATGATAATAATATATAAATAAAAAGCTTTGCTTCTTTCTTTTCCTTCTGAATCAGAATTTTTTAATCTACTGCTGGACACAGACGTCATCAAGAATGCTTAAACTGTCATGCTTGACATGGATAATAAGTAGGTAGGCATAGAAGTTACTCTAAGTAGGTAGGTACCTACTTATGCTATGACCACATTGAGTCGGGTCGGTTATCTGGATATAGGATTGATACCCTCTGACATCGCTTACTTACTTATCTAATATATTTGCTCCATGTCTTTACACTAGCAACTTTGCTCACAAATTTCATTTTGTAATTGAGAGTTGGGGTCAACTTTTAAAATCTAAGAGAATGTCCGGCGCGGTAGCAATCTACTAAAGAACCCCATCTAGATACGTATTGTTTTCGAATGCTATTACGAATCGTCCCGTAGCTACATCCAGCTTCTCGAACATTCCGGTTTCCAATGCTCGGAATTCCTCTGCGTTAGGTATAGATTTCTTAAGGGGATAGATATCAGCCCAACGCATCAGTAACTTGAAGTGGCAATAGGCCGGCAATATAGCTTTAAGAACTGACTAGCCGACAAACATGGAGAAGAAAGATTCTTGAGGGGCAGCTTCGTACGGGTAGATAAACGAGATAAGATATGATAGATTTAGTCTAGTGAGCAGTGCGGCTGCACACTAGTTTTATTGATTTTTAGTACGCGTAAGGGGAACTAAAATAGAAAATTGGCTGCAGTATTTTCTTAACAATAACTCAAAATATTAAAAAACTGCGTTTGCCAACCCGCCTGTCTAGCGTGGCAACTATGGCAAAAGCCTCCATATGAGGTAATCTATTGGACTAGCCTATGCTCAGCAGTGGACTTATAGGCTGTTATGGATGTGGGGAACGCCTGCGTATGGCTACTCTGTTCCGGTCCGCAGGTGGCTCGTGGTTTTTTTAAAACGGTTAAATAAAAAAATATAAAGGATAAAAATGATTTTATAATTCAATTTTAAGTTTAAGTGCCATCACACGGAATTAAAGTAAACTAAATTACAAATGAATTCTAGAGGCACGTGTCAATCAACATTCAACTTTCATAACAATTTCTAAATTTATCTCTAGATGGCGCTGACAACAAAATGCTATTCATGAAATCACTAAATTATTCTTGGTAAATACGTTTATTACTGTAACATTCTGAAAAGTATAAAAATAAATAAAAAAGGATGTGAGGCGTTCAAATATATTTTATAATATTTTTAAAAAGTGTTATTATAAAATAATATGGAAATAAGAAAAAATTCACGACAAACAACAATTTAAACAACTTTTAGAATGGCAACCCAAAAAGGCCGCGTGTTACTTGTTCAAGGTCATATGGACTAGGGATGCATTAGGTTTCGGTAAAAAATATCGAAATATCGTTATTTTCTCACAAAATCGTCGATATATAACATCATTATTTTTAATCACGATATACAGCGCAATATATTCGATATTTATTTTAGAGTATCGACTTCATATCGATGTAAATATTTTTAAAACGCATCTCTTGTTTCGTATTTAATGTTACTAGATACTCCTTGCATGCTCCTAGCTCATCTTTTATTTAATAACCCCACCACAATCTTCATCAAATCGATTATCACAGTAAGATCATAGACAAAACAAAAACAAACATGAACATAGTCTTTTTTTTAAAAAAGTATCAACCGTGTCTTCTATGTGGCAGTTCTTCAAAAAAGAAGGCAAAAATGAGTCAGCTTCTTGCAATTTGTGCAGCAAGTCGTACAAAACGTCAATATGTGAATATTTATCATTCAATAGTTATAGATACTGTTTAAAAATATGGGTACGATAAATATAGATTTTTTTTAACTCGCCCATTCCTACGATGCTCGATTTTTTAGCTTAGAATTGATTTCAATGGATTGTAAATCTGAATCGATTCACAGATCGAATCGTATGCTCTTGAATCGATCTCGTAAAAATAGATTAATAAAAGACATGTGTGCAATTCACATGCCGTAGAAGTGAAACCATCAAATGAATTAAATATAAAATAAAAATATTTCACAGCAAATGATTTATTTAATATAATCATTTTCAACCACAAGTGCGGCATGAAATATAAAAGTTTCATGTTATAGCCAATAAATGTTACAATCTTTATTTTTAGACTTAATTTTAGTCTTATAAATGAAAATAATATTTTCTTTCGAGTAAAATTGCTTTGTAATAGCGCGCATTCATTCTGTAGGTAAAGTCACTTTATTGAACAAATATTTATTAATCCTCAAAGTGGTATATAAGATATGCGCTAGAAGGAATAAACACGAATAATTTAATAGAAATTGGTAAGCTATAAAATCATGAATTAATTGGATATTATGATAATTTCATTAATTAAGCTTAATTTATTAATTTAATAAAATTGTTATTTTTTAACTGTTTCTTTTAACACTTAAAATTTATATAAATCATCATTAAAGCCCCGCAAAAAGAGGAGACCAAAATAATATGAACATTTTTTTTAATACACTTTTCATGCTATTAACATTACTAAAATTTCCTTTAACCACTATTGGTGAGCTTAAAAATAATGAAATGGCGGATTCGAACTTATAACCTTTTGAGTTCGTGGTCTGCATTCTGAGATTAGGTTACTGTCGCTTACTACACTACATTCTATCTCATGTCTCACTTCTCTCTTTTTAGTGTCGCTTTTTCGTTTCAAATCACAACAATGCTAAAGAATTTTCACTTCAAAAATGTAATAAATGAAAATCTAAAAGCTTTTACAAAAATTTACTTCGCAAATATCCGCGTTATAAAATAAAATGATTTGTCTTACCTAGTACGAAGAGCACCTCCCGCCCTCCCTCAATTGCGTGCACTATCCCCGACGACAAATCATTTTATTTTATAACGCGGATATTTGCGAAGTAAATTTTTGTAAAAGCTTTTATATAATGGATTTCCGCAAAGTAACGCCTGATTCTATTAATTAAATGACAGTCGTTAATTTTACACTATAAAATTTTATTTCTTTAATCATAGCTAATACATAGAACAAGATTTATGATCTTGATAAGGAGTGGTGTGTCTTCATATGGTTAATAATGTTTATAGTCTATAGTCTTTTGTATTCACGACAAATTGGCATACAACTTTTATTTTTTTTTCCATATCTCTTTTTACACACAACAAAGCGACGGAGTTAACAGTAAAATACAATCAAGAAGCAAATAAGCAGACCATTAATCACGACGATACGAAACCGTGAGATAATTAGTTTATAAAATTCAGTCATGAATCAATAATGAATAAAGGCTATTGTAATGTCGAGTGCCATGTGAAAAGAGAACTTATTTTTGTTCAACATTTATTAGGCGAATAAATTTGTTACGTTACTTAGCTTATTAATATACAATATTTTTTACAATAAAAAATTTAAAACTCAAATTGTCAAACAGTCCTACTCCCCGCAGTGAGTGCTAAGAACCTTGGCTGATATTTCCTTGCTGCATGGCTATACTCAGCCATTCATCAAGGAAATACCAGCTTACTGGAGACAAAAGGGCTAGCTATTTTAACTAGCCCTCTTGTCTCCTGTATCGATGACCAGTCGTAGATGATAGTTCCTTTAGGAACTTCACTAGACATGAACCGAATGAATCGTTAGTTCCTACAGCAAATAGCACAAAGATATAGACATCTTTCAAAATAAATATCAATGCTTTTTGTTTAGTTCAGCCTTGTCTAATGCCACCCCAGCCCTAAATAGGGTACCTTAGAGATGAGAGGCCACCAAATTGTCTATACATGTAGCCCGGCTACCTACAGTTTATGAGTATTAATTTTTGGTCCGATCTACGCAGAAAAAACCTCAGTCCCCCCCGTCCAGGGGGGATCCATCCCACACCGGGGGTTTGGCCTCTGTTCAAGGGACCAAAGTCACACCATTGGGGTCTCCTGTCATCTTCTCTAAATATTCCCCAAGGCTAAAACATATTAGTTGTTTATAGAGACAAATATCCTTCGGAAAACGTCGTACAGAGAATCGTGATGAGATAACCTACCAGTATTTTAAATACGTGAATATCCTTGAAGTCAAAACTAGTCGTCAACCTTGTTATTATCAGAAAAGAAAAAAATAATGTAATTGGACTAGATGAGGTGGGCTTACGTATAAACATGAGGTCATTATTCGAATATGATCTCGGCGCCTTATTTTCCAATCGATTTACTTGTAAATCGCATGGAATAAATCGATTCTAAACATCGCTAGAACGTATACAATTGAAATCGATCTTCATAAAATCGAATCGTAACGTGCATCCCTATCGGATCCCGGTCTGTGACGTTGACTCTACAGTCGCGACGTGTTTGACATTTAGAGGATTTTGTATTTTCTTACCACTTCTTCCTCTTTTTTTACATACGTGTCAAGCAAACTTGTGCGCGTTCGGCCTTAGAGCCTCTAATTTTAGGAATAATACTGTAAGTATTTTAATAAATTGATCTATTTACCACCTATTAACTGCTAACGATTAAAGTTTTTATGTTATCAAATGGGAGTAATGGAAATCATAATATTTACGTTATGGAAAATCTAGAACATTTACGATTGTAGGTAATGTAACAGTAGATTTCTCTAATTTACCGTTTAAATTAATGTTTTCGCAAGAACGTAAATTCGTTTTCTACATTAAATATCTCATTAATAAATTTCATTCTTTAGACGTGTACGTCTTCATACGTGTTACCCATTCGTGTAAACATTTTGATTAATTTTTTTATAAATACATGTTTCAACTTTACTTTTAATACTTGCTTGTTGACTATTTTTAATACTTACAGCCTAAGTTTAACAATATGAAATCTTATGAATGTAATAAAAAGTCCCCTCTTTTTTTATACAATATGAGTTTTAGAAAGTATATTGTATGGTCATCAAACATTCATTTTAAAGTGAAAGTTTGATACAAACAGCTGTTGTTGAAGTAATAGAACTAATGCTTTTATCTATAAAGTTATAATTGATTAAAACAATTTTGAAAGGATAATCTAAGGGTGCATTCAAGTAATATGTGTATAGGGGGTTTAGCTGGTACCTTGCCATTTTTGTTTCCATAACTGATCTTAATTATGTGTATGTTCCTAATTTCTATAGACCTATTCACAGTAATATTATAAAAAATAAGTTTTAAATATTTGTACACCTTGTCATTATTATTCTTAATAATTTTTTGTGCATTTCTTGTTTGCTTAGGTTTCTAGGTGGTAGGACCCATTTTAGGAGCCCATCTGTGTAGGTGTGCTTAATGCCTAATGGCAGTGCTTGCACTGTTGTGTTTTGGTCTAAAGTGTTAAGTGTGCCACTATGATTACAGATTTTGAGGTATTCCCACTTCGTCATCAGAGGTTACAACACATCTGTAGTCTTCTTTGTGTGAAGTTGGTTGTAGGTGACCATGAGCTGCGTTAGCCACTTACCATCAGTTGGACTGCAAGTTTGTTAGTTACTTCAGGTTTATTAAAAAAAAAGATGTGTGTGTGTACTTATGTATGCATGTAAGAAGTTATACTTCTTTAGTGTAACAAACAAAAATAATAAAATTAAAAGTCGTTTTATAGATTCGTATAATATATTTGAATAACTACCTTGAACATAGTTATTAGGTTTCATGAAAAGATACAGACAATTACGAACTTCAGTTGTCGTTTTTAGGTGTCGGTGTGCACACGCATCGTAAAAATTTCACTCTCATAATTTTTTTTCTTTCTATTATATCTGGGATCTTGTGATGGGCTATAATAATGATGATGTTTCTTTTTTCTTGTTATTTTAAAGAATATTAATATGATATTAATACATTTATGTTTTGATTCTTAATCAAGAATTGATATATGTATCTTTGGGGTATACTGGATGGTATGCCCCAAAGATACCTATATCATTTCTTGATTGGACTTGAGTGGACTGTGTGTTTGAAATATTCTATTTCCTCTTATTGTTTAATATTCTCTCTTATGGTTGGTTGTATTGTAAATTAATACAAGTTTCCCTCTTAATAATCTAAATAAAATAATGTAGCAGCCTAAAACAATGGTGCCTGACAAACGGAAGCTATTTTTGGTCAAGTGCTTGTGATGTTAGACATTAGTAATTTTCCATTTTAGCTTGCTTTTGCTTAAGATAGTCTGAGTAGCATGCTACTCTTTGGACTCTGCCTATCCTCTCAAGGATTACAGGTGTGACACTATAAGTAAGTCTAATAAATAAAACTATGTTTTCAGGACAAATAACAAATAATCAAATAAAATGGCACCAAAGCAGAGAATGCGCATTGCTAATGAGATCGCCAGCAAGAACATCACAATGAGAGGCAATGTACCCAAAACCACAAAGGTAATTACATCTTTACATTAATTTAATCAACACAGCTACCATGTTGCAGATTTAAAGTTCTAAACCTGACAGAAAGCTAACATTCAGACAACAAACACAAATTGTTACTTTTTAGATCTGATTGTGCTGTTCCCATGTTTATGGACTGATTAGCCAATCTACATAAGACCTTGTTGCATTAGAGTAATATTGGTCAATAAGTCAGGTTTTTAAGTGCTTTTCAGAGCATTTGTGGTTATTTCGTTACTGCGCAGCGTATAACATTTGCCAAAAAATATCCAAAAAAAATCTTTTAATTTTGTTTTTACTTTATTCAAAAAAAATCCCAGACGTTTTTGTAGGTTATAAAGTATTACCATATCCAAAATTTATTCTATTAAAATTCCCAAAAAATATACTTTTGGCAATCTCAAATTTTAATTACATATTTATTGAGTAATTTTAATAATACCTGCATATCGCCAGACAAATTTAGCGGTTTTAAACAATTCCCAGATGTAAATAAAGTTCACAAATGAATACAACAAAAAAGTCTAATGCGCAGCCATAAGTAAGAGAAAAATAGCTTGCCGGCAGCTGATGTGGGCCCAAGCTCCTCGCACTGTGTTCGGCTATTGAGAAACCACGTGTTTCCACTATAGTTCTAGGTCTGCGTTCACACTAGAGTGTTTTGTGTGAGAGCAATCGCAACATTGTGAAAAATTATCTAGTGTTTGTATACATTTTTTTAAAGATCTTAAAATTAAATTCTCGTTTTGTCCATGGCTTATAAATGACCATGTAAATATCTGTGTATATAGTTTGAATTGTTTTAGATCAGTGCTGTAATATTGTAAAATCATACCCAGAAAATTAATTAAATATTGCTATTTAAATACGTAAATAATATTAAAATATATTGATATATTATTTGTATCAATTGTTATTGTTTAATTTTGCAAGGTTGAAATGTATATTATGATAAGCTAACTTATCTAGAGTAATAACTTTTAATCACTCTGTAGCCCACTGAAATAGTAAATCTTATCTTTGCTCATCGCTAAATAAATATCAAATTATTTATACCATTATTCAGTAAAAACTTAAATACTAAAAACTGCTTTATTCATGGATTTTTTTGATCTTATGCTGAAATTAAAGGCTTGTCATTAATAAAAAATAGAAATATACTAGTGTAGTTAGGGTTGCCAGATGGACGGGACTTGGTTGGATTGTCCAGATTTTTCATAATATATTGTCCAGTGTCACGGTTTTAGGCAAAATGATCCACTAAAAATCAAATACGACTGCGCGTTTTTATGACAATGCAGTAACTTTTCTCATGACTAGTAAGAATAGCATAGATTCGTTAGAGAGTAGTATATTCCATGAGCGAGTAGCTCAGAAACTGCACCGCCGCTGCAGTGCCGACCGCCACTCGCATGGACCGACACGCTCGTTAACGACGTGTGTTAATGTTCATATACATATATAGTGTTTGCTTTGATTAATATGGATTCTTAATTTGTCAAACCAAAGTCTTTATTGTCCAGAGATTTTTTTTCAATCTGGCAACCTATAGTGCACAGTTCCTGGCGTTATTTTGAACAATGTTAATCGAGTCTTTGAATTTGTAGTGTTCCCATCACATGCTATGTTTTGTTTAGATTAGTGATTTTGAAAAAAGCCTTGCAATTTCATTTATCAAAAACATTTTGAGAACAAAATAAAGAAAAGGAAAACAAGAAAACACTTTAGATTTAGAGGCTATAGGAAAATTACATTGTCTTACATTAAAGAGCTTGTGAGATCAGTATTTCAGAATTAAGAAAGCATATTTTAAGGAAGTCTATTCAGTTGTTTGAGGGGCAGGGATATAAAATTAGTAAACTTTATGAATCTATAGGTACAAGAGAACATGTAAATAGGTACAGTTTACAGGCTCGATTTTAACTATTTCAATATCTTATGCGAAATAATTTTACGATATTAGGTACATAGGTAGACATTTTTAACACAAAAATACGTAATACAAAAGCATCCGTAACTTTTTGTTTATGTCGTCGGCAGATTGTATAATACATCATTTCACAAACGGTGTCGTATGTTTGCAAACGTTTGTATAACGACGAATCATAAAATCTGCCGACAACATAGACAAGAAGTTAAAAACCAAACCAAAACCGCCAAGCAGCATTTGGTGGTAGAGATAGGTAAGTCTGGTAATCTACCCAGACGGACTCCTAAAATGCCTACTGCCTTGGTACTTGTTTTCTATGAATTTTTAGTAGTGGGCTTACACTGGACTATGATTAATGAAATGCTTAGTAAGTTATGTCTACCATTGTGAAGATTATATTTATTAATGTATTAAATCTTTACTGTAAGATACCTTACACTATGAGTTACAATGGGCAGACTTAATATCTTTATGGTGTTCTCTACCAGTCAACCCAGTGTTAAAAAAGTAACTAAAACATGTTATGTAAACAAGCATAAATATATGACTGTACATACTAATATACATAATAAAAATAATTCATCAGATGTTGTTTTACATCAGCAGTTGCTGAACCAGTTTTTTGAATGTATGCTTATTAGGTTGATATCCTATATTATATCCTATTTACAATAATGAAAGAATACAATAATTTTGCAAAGAATGTAATAGCTCAAAGAACTGACAACCGATGGGGTAGCAAGGTTCTAGAGTGGCAGCTTTGTACCGGTAGGAGAAGTGTGCCCCCCAGTAGATGGTGTGACGACCTGGTAAGATATACAGGAAGTCGATCGATGCAGGTGGCCCAGGACCGTACTTTGTGGTATTCCTTGCGGGAGAGGCCTATGTTCAGCAGTGGACTTGTGAAGAGCTGTAATGATTGCTATAATAAAATTTACATTTGTTTCAGGAAAAAGATGACCAATATCCAGTTGCACCTTGGTTACTAGCCCTCTTTATCTTCGTCGTGTGTGGTTCTGCGGTGTTTCAAATCATTCAATCCATCAGGCTCGCCTAGGACCTCTGTGATGCCTTCCGACTGATAATTTAGTGTCCAACAGTGCAATGACAGCATGGTGCTTGTGGCATGCTCTTATAATTTCTTCTTTATTTGATACTAAATAAGGTTATAAATTGAGTGGCGATGTATATCATTAACCACCGGTACCCCTATGTCAACATCATCATCATTCATTGGTTTTGCAATTCTGATAACGATCCTGTACATTGCCACTTCATTTGTAACTTCTAAATAAAATTAAGAATGTTACCACTAAGTAAACTATTCATTCCTATCGAAAAAAGACACAACCTAGTGTCAGTTTTATATTTTTGTCTTATTAGTACTATCTTTTATTAGGTGTGATATATTTTCCATGCCACATGCTCCTTAGAAAAGTGTGTTCGGATGGGATCATATAGGAAAATATTTTTGGTCCCTCTTGTTCACATATACCTGCAAATTCTATAGCTCTCATAGTTTTCATCTTCCTCTAGACGCAGGTAGTTAGACATTTATAATCACAATGTAAACGACATAATTGTATGTACTATATTCTTGTATATTGTAAAATAAAATTGAAAATTTTACATTAAGCTGGTAATTATGAATTTAGATTATTGTTGATCGAAAATTCCAGTGTTTTCACTTTTTTATTTGTGACCGAGTGTAAGAAGACGCACAAAGTGACGACATAACTTTGTGTCGTGCAAAGTTGTGTTGGTATATTATATTATAAGGTTTTAGTTCATTATTAATTTTATGAATGAAATTATTTTTTTTTAATCCGCGCCACTGTTACGAAATTATTTGTCGGTTCTATTTTTTAATTTTAAATGTAATTTATTTGATTAAATAAAATATATTTGTCAATCATTGTTTTAATTTTCTAGATTTACTCATAATTACCCGATTATATCTAACCATGTTTAGTTGCAACTAACATGCAATTAGCATTCACCCATTGAGTTATTATGTACTACGTACAAGAGAAGCTATTCCAAACTAAAATTGTGCTCTACTCTGTCTTCGCGCATGCGCGGGAATATAAAATAAGATATTAATATAAAATAAATATAAGAATTTAATATAAAATACTCTTATTTTAATATAAACAAACATATTTCTAAATAAAATGTAATAATAATTATCTTATGGAATTCACAAACCTTCAATTTACGCAATATTTAGTTTAGTGTACGGATTGCAGTACAGTTGAGTTGAACATAGTCAATGTTCGGAATGCGAAATCTAGTGCGTAGTACATATATATCGATGGATTCACCTTTCATTCTCAACAGCCTGTTAAAAGTCCATTGCTGAACATAGGTCGCCCTCAGAGATTATCTCCTACGAGAAATATTTGGCATAGTTTGGCCGGCAGATTGCCAACAGCAGTTTTTTATTATTTTGAGTTTGTTATCCTGCTGTGACGTGGTCTTTCACTGCTGGCAGTATGAGAAAGTTCATACTCGCTCAGCGACCTATGGAGAGGGCTATGCTCGGCGTTTCTTTGCGTGATAGACTTAAAAACGAGGATATCCGCAGTAGAACCGACATAGCCCAAAGGATTAGTAAGCTGAAGTGGCAATGGGCCGGCCATATAGCTCGAAGAACCGACAACCGATGGCGAAGAAAGGTTCTCGAATGGCAGCCTCGTATCGGCAAGCGAAGTGTAAGGTGTCCCCCCACTAGATGGAGTGACGACCTGGTAAGACATGCAGGAAGTCAATTAATGCAGGTGGCTCGGGACCGTGCTTTGTAGTATTCTTTGGGGGAGGTCTATGTTCAGCAGTGGAGTTGTGAAAGGCTGTAATGATGATGATCCTGCTGTTATCTATTATATGAAGATGTTGCTGCCAATTCTTGTTTCAGTTTCCCTATTTCGCCTCTTACGACACCCACCCACCATGATATTTGGTAGTGGATACGCTTACGGCACTACTACACAGCACTAGAATTAGGCAATAAACCATACAGCAATTATAACATTTATAACTGCTATGCACATGAGTTTCTGCCGATACTTCAGATTTCATATTATTACGTATCTTACAACACGATAAAACAAGGTCAAATAGATACTTTAACCTGTTTTATTATGCATAAGTATATATGATTATAATCTGTAACTAGTTGTCTCTGCATTCAAACAGACAGTCGTCCTTTCTTATCCACTAAAGTTATGCGCAATTGTAATTCACTTCTGATTCGTTCCGGTTCTGGTGTACAGTTATACAAACAAAAATAGTACATAGTAGTTAATTATATAGTATGTTAAAACTACAAGAAGGCTATAATTTTATTTTATACTTTTAACCCTTTACTTGGCAGATATTTTTTTTCCTTATTTTAATGTTTTTCTTTCAATCAGGGTGTTTAATTAGGTAAATAAAAGGTGAATAAAATATATAAAAAAATCTTTTGCTTTTAGATATTTTTTTATTGAACGTATCCTGCAGTGCACACTGCCAGGTAAGCAACAATTTACATGATAAAAAGTACGTATCCTGACAGATACAGTGCCATGTTTACATTGTAACAAAAAATAGATTCTAATTGTAATTAATCAATAATTATTTATCATTTTTATTATCAAATAAACAGTTTTATAATTATGAGATCACGTTATATAATCAAACAATACAAATTATTTGCTTTAGAATACTATTTGGTATGATATGCATGAAAACAATTTCGTTCTTCTACCAAACAAAGTCTTAATTTACATTTTTGACAATGAATTGGCCTTTTGTGCAATTTTTTCCACCTGCCTTTAGTTTGAAATACTGGTATATGCCCAACTTGAACTTATCATACAGCGACAATGGGTCTCTCTGCAGCTGGTTTTTTATTAGGGGTACATAATTTTTGAGTTTATTGGCAGAAACGCCTCTGTCAAACAAAAGTAAGCTTCGGTAAATTTCATATCTGAATTCTTTCAATGGCATTAATTTTGACTTATTTGATGCACCTCGTCGGTACATAAGCAAAGCGTTATTACATATTACATATATTACACATACTTCAAGGATTTGCGAAAACAGAGGTAGATACAAGCGATGTCCCTTGAATTCTGTACTGTATAACGCAATAAGCATATCCGCTAAATCCACGCCACCCATATTGGAGTTGTACTCCTTTATCATTCGTGGACATGGTACTGGTATTTTCTTTCTCAGTACTTTGTTATACCAGAAATACCGTGGTACAGTTTGGAGAGTATGTGAGTCTACGTATGTGCTTGCAACAGTGACGCATTTGTTGTCGTACCACTTGGTAACAACAATCTTGTTTTTGTTACACACAACTTGAGTATGTGTACCTCACTTTCTTTTTTATTTTTTTATCAGTAGGAAGTTTCTCCGGTGCTCCACGAAGTCGGTTGAATCTAACAGTTCTAAAAATACCGTATCCATTTCTCAGTCGGTGCATCAATTCAATTTAGATAAAGAAGTTGTCAAAGCACAAGATTTTACAAGCAGGCTGGCAAATGGATTTGGCTAGAGCTATGACGACTTTTGCACCTAATCCCATGCTTTCTTCTTCTTCGGTAAACAAAGTGAACTGGAATGTATCTTCCCCTCCATATAGCAAAGTCATATACAATGCCCAAAACACCCTAGCTTTGGTGAACTAATTTCAGCAGCTTGTAACAGTAAAATTGATGATGATTGCCTTGGTGACAAAATTGATGGCGAAGCGCAAGTATTACTTGCAGGCGATGAGTACAGTTGCAAAGCTGGAGAATTGTGCGTTATTTCATCTATCTCTTTATTGCTATCCGATAATAGGTTTAGATCCAACAAAGACGATGGCAAAGATGGAGCTGGAGAGCTACTGTCGGAAATAGTTGGAGGGATATACTTATATAACTCATCAGCTGAATCATCTCTGCTACCTACATCTGATCTAGCTCCAGATTTTGGAACTAGGGCTAGAATTCTGCGGGCTCTGTTTAGTTGTTGTTGAAGCTTTTGTTGTGAAATCTGGAAAGAAACATTTATTATCGTACAGCTTATCTTAAATATGTATGAGCATTTGTACCAAAGCATATATAATTATAAAAAAAATATATTTCTATCTACTACAGTTACTGTACAAGTGTTACACAAATTATTTTTTTTTAAATTTATTTAAATGTGTTGATTAGGAATACAAAAAATCAACAATTATCTTTTTTTTGCATAGACATACATTCACTGACAAACTGGCAGTGTATCTTCATAGATACATGCCAAAGTAGCACTAGTTTCTTGTGCAGCTGGCTGTGTATACTCAGAGATACATATGGACAAACTGAGTTGTAAAATGGAATATATAAAGTTTTGGTATCAAAAAACTACATCCAGGAATAATATAGTATTACTGCATTTACTTTCACTTCAAATAATAATGAAAAATGCATAAAAAAGTAGCAAAATACATAATACTTACCGGCTTGTGCGTAGACGCCTGTTTACGGTCTACCATCTTGCGGGCTACTGACAGTTCAGTGTTATCAGCAATAAAACTATAAATCCTACTAAATATCATAGTTCATAAACTAACTTATTACAAGAAAATCAATGTCAAAATTCGTTTAGTTTTCCTACAATATTTTTTTAAAGAGCAGTGTATCCACTGATGCACTCTGCCAAGTTAAGGGTTAAAGAATTTCGTAATCAAAAAAAATCACACAATATTAAGTCAATCGCACATTATTAACTTTACAGAGTATTGTTGTTTGTTTATTGTAAATTGGGACTATACCAGTAATGAAGAAAAAATGGATTAAGTTAGTAATCTCTAAACTTCGTCCCTGCCACGTTCACGTTCAAGGATAAATAGATAAATAGTGGGAATTGGGATATGGTGTTATGTGAATATGGCTAGGCGTTGCTGTAAAGCAAGAAAATATATGTTTCATTTACGTCCAACAGATGGCGCTCATTTACAAAAAGTATCAAAGTAATCAGTGAAGAATTTCGGAGATTTAAGATTTTAAATACATTTTACAATTTTAGCGCCATCTGTCGTGAACTAAACGTAAGTGTCGCCCGAACGCCCTGTTGTAATATTCTACACACAAATTCTACGTAAAAAAGAATCCGTAAACCTAATAGCAGAAAAGACTTTAGTCGACTAGTTTGAAAAGATGACAACGACGATGAAAGAGTAGTCTAGATATAAATATAGCTTTATTTGGCTACAGTACGAACGGGTTGGCTCGGCGGAAGACCACGCCCTCGCCGAATATCAGAGTAAAATAACAACAAAATGAAGCTGTGTTTCGTAAGGCAAATGTAAAGAACCGGAGACTCTTTTTAGTAGGCATCTTAAACATTAAGGGATGCAAAGCGTCTGTATTTTGATTTATCATCGAGGATAGATACAGGTACTTATTGGCCACCTCATCACTTACCATCAGGTGGACGATGTGTTTGTTTGTCAATTTTACTCCTCTAATAAAATACTTCGCAGCATCAACTGCGCAGTAAGCAGTGCTAGTTGGATCCAAAAACCAAAAATTTGAGTTATTCGTGGGATGTAGATTTCTCCTGGAATTCGTACTTGGGACCCGAGCTTGGTAGACAAGTACTCTTAACTATGAAGCTAAGCTATCGTCCGTAGACCCAGCCAACTTAATCCTAATACATTCTGAAATAAAATAAGTAAAGTAATTTCCGGTAGCTAGTGCGACACACGAACAATGTTACTGAGCGAGATCATTATTTAAAAATGAGTGAATACAATATGTTGTAATAAATAAGAAATATGTATATCCGGGATGACAGAAGAGCCTCTGAGTATTTCGACCTAACGGAAGAAGACTGAATCCGCGAAATATTGTCACCGGGAAGGGGTGCTTGTTACCACTCCAAGGCTAAG